AATTCTGAGCTTTTAAAATCAACTAATTCGTAGATTTTTTTTATGTACATGCACAATGTGAATTTGTTAATATTTTTACCAATGGTATATTCATAAAAGAACGATAGTTTAAGGTGTGTATATAAAATGAATCCTTGTATATAAAATTTAACCTAAAAAATCTGGTAAAGTAGATTTATCCCTGTATAATCATTTATACTTAATATATCTTATATAATATATCTGTTAGGAAATGTAAAGGTAAAGTGTAAATTATCTGAGCTATAGGAATTCTTGAATCATCTGAGCTATAGGAATTCTTGAATCATCTGAGCTATAGGAATTTTTGAATCATGAGCTATAGGAATTCTTAAATCCTCTGAGCTATAGGAATTCTTGAATCGTCTGAGCTACAGGAATTTTTTGATTATGAGCTATAGGAATTCTTAAATCATCTGAGCTATAGGAATTCTTGAATTATCTGAGCTATAGGAATTCTTAAATCCTCTGAGCTATAGGAATTCTTGAATCCTCTGAGCTATAGGAATTCTTGAATCATCTGAGCTATAGGAATTCTTGAATCATCTGAGCTTTCGCAATTCTTGAATCATCTGAGCTATAGGAATTCTTGAATCTTCTGAGCTATAGGAATTCTTAAATCATCTGAGCTATAGGAATTCTTGAATCCTCTGAGCTATAGGAATTCTTGAATCATCTGAGCTTTAGGAATTCTTGAATCATCTGAGCTGTAGGAATTCTTGAATTATCTGAGCTATTGGAATTCTTGAATCATCTGAGCTTTAGGAATTCTTGAATCATCTGAGCAGTAGGAATTCTTGAATTATCTGAGCTATAGGAATTCTTGAATCATGGATAACAAGATCAAGGTGTCGATCTTTTTTATCTGCAGATTAATCTAATCTTTGTTCGATACCCAGTAAAGTGCTTAAACCAATCAGAGTGTTGTATGCAGAAAGCATGGGAATTTGTTGTTCAGCCAATGAGAGAATGGATAAATTGCGGATATCCAAAATGAAAAGATTCTGCATAAAATTCAAAGTCCCCGATGTGGATATCGAGATAAAAAGATCGGAATTATGGATTTTCTTCACAAAAGTTTCCAGCTCTGTGGTAGATTGGTTTTAATTTGCCGAGAGGGCATTGGAGACAAATATCTGCTCAGTATTTACTGTGTGCATTGGAAATGTTTCCAGCTCAGAACCTAATCTGCCTTTTTGTTCTTACTCACCATTGGTTCCCTGCATCGTTTCTTTCTTTGACAAATCATTGAAAAATAACGTTATAGAACCCTGATCAACACATTGGAACAAATTCAACTTTTACCTTGTCATAAACAGTTTGGAGTCGTCATTCAAATCTCAACTTATAAGGGCCAGTATTAAAATCTTATAATAGGATGATAAAGCTTATGTTTGCAAGCTGAATCCAAGAATGTAATGCATTACACCCTTGGCTGAATCTATGTGCTAGAAATAAACACGCTTAATTTACAGGGGACTATTTCAAAATTATCACTGAATTTAAATGTATATTGGGACACCCTGTATAAAATAATCATAAACATTCCTTATTCATAAAGAGATTTAGGTCGTCATTAAAGGCTCATCCTTTGAAGGTAACCCTTTATTAAGAGGGAGTAATGTGTGTAATAGGATGATATAGCTTATTTAATATAGTTTCTGGACAGTTATTTTCTCCAGGTAGTGTTTACAGTACTGTTAGTTTTCTCTAGGCAGCTTCTATAGTACTGTTAAAATCATACCTAAACCCTCTCCATCCATATAATCTACAGAGAAGAAATAATACATTAATCATGCCTCTCTGATCAGTACAATCTAGACACAAGAAGGAGGATAAATTTACGCGTCCTCACTAGTGCAGGTTTCTCACCTTTCTGACCTTGTAGTTGTGATTTTACGTACGAGAATGAGAAAATAATTTTTTTTTTTGGTTATATACTATGACACTCAANTCCTCACTAGTGCAGGTTCCTCACCTTTCTGACCTTGTAGTTGTGATTTTACGTACGAGAATGAGAAAATAATTTTTTTTTTTGGTTATATACTATGACACTCAACCCATTTTTGTTTACATACTAGATACTTAACCCATTTTTGTTTACATACTAGACACTCAACCCATTTTTGTTTACATACTATGACACTCAACCCATTTTTGGTTACATACTATGACACTCATCCCATTTTTGGTTACATACTATGAAACTCAACCCATTTTTGTTTACATACTATGACACTCAACCCATTTTTGGTTACATACTAGACACTCAACCCATTTTTGGTTACATACTAGACACTCAACCCATTTTTGGTTACATACTAGACACTCAACCTTTTTTTTGGTTACAAACTAGACACTCAACCCATTTTTGGTTACAAACTAGACACTCAACCCATTTTTGGTTACATACTAGACACTCAACCCATTTTTGGTTACATACTAGACACTCAACCCATTTTTGGTTACATACTAGACACTCAACCCATTTTTGGTTACATACTAGACACTCAACCCTTTTTTGTTTACATACTAGACACTCAGCCCATTTTTGTTTACATACTAGACACTCAACCCATTTTTGGTTACATATTATAATAGATTACTAGGGGGTTTAAAGGTAGTGTTAAGCCCAGATCAAGCTGTAGCTTATTTGTGTTCAAGCCGGTGATGCTTGTGTTAAAACTTCTGGTTCTTACAGCTGGGGTGTATTGTGTACATCCAGATCCTGTACTTAAATATAAACTTGGTAAGAAAACATTTATTAAAATAATAAAAATAATCATAAAAATAATAATAATAAACTTCATTATCAAGGTGCACGGTTACCCACAAAGGCTAAGACTTTAGAGACAATTTGACGGAATTCATTGTGACCTTATATTCATATTCCCTGCAACTTTTAACATATTTCTTTTTTAACCAAATCAAATTATAATCTCTTAAAATACTAAATTTAAGAAAGAAGACTTAATTTAACCTTGGGATTGTCCTACTATGTGAGTATCAGGTCGTTTTTACAGTCTCACCCTGTGAGGGTAACCCTGTATGTACACTACTGAAGGTAAGGTGGGTACTTGGGTAGGGTTTGTGTAAAAAAGTGATGTATTTTGGACTTAATATGAACTAGTTCTAAAAACAACAATAACAATGATTGCAATCGATGTCGACGACATTGTTCTTGTCTAGTTACTGTTAGTAAAACACGTCACAACTATTATGTATATGAACCCTATCCTCTCTACCTTTACCGTACATACCTTTAGTATCCATTAGCTAATGTAATGATCTAAAAAAAACAATAACAATGATTGCAATCGATGTCGACGACATTGTTCTTGTCTAGTTACTGTTACTTATTTGCAATAAAACCATCTATGAGTAAAACACTTCACACTATAATGTATACAAACCCTATCCTCCCTACCTTTACCGTACATACCTTTAGTATCCATTAGCTAATGTAATGATCTAAACAAATAATCTGAAGTCAGAACTTTATAGTGCTGGGAATCTCTGGATCAAGCATTGATCTCCATGCTAAAGGGACTGTAAAGGAAAAATGAAAGGGGGTATAGGATGAAACCTGAGAATTTCAGGTTTTGAACGATACATATAACACATTTATCTGATGTTCCTGTCTAGAGAAATTGACATAACACTGTGTCAAAATTATACCAAAACATATGTCAGATTTTGTATAAAAGTTGTAGCATTAAACAGATCATATTCAACATTACGCAACAAATCTGAAAACTATTATATTCCACAGGAGCCTGAGAATCTCAGGTTTACTCATATCATAATTTGTTATTTTTTATTTTGCTTTTTTAATAGATATAATTGATAATATAATTACATATAGTCCGTATAGTCCGTATTATGTCCCAATAACTTCAGCCAATGACAGTGCAGTATCGTTGTCACGTGGTACAGACGTTCTCAGATTGGTTGCGTTATTGTTAAATATGATCTGTTTAATGCACTTTTATACAAAATCTGACATATGTCCTTTTTGGTATAATTTTGACACAGTTAATTTATGTCAATTTCTCGAGACAGGAACATAAAGGTTAAAGGTATCGTTCTAAACCTGAAATTCTTAGGTTTTATCCTATACCCCCTTTCATTTTTCCTTACAGTCCCTTTAAGCAGATATCTGGATTAATAAAATTCCTCCTGAATAGATCGTGGTGTTTATATTCTGCGAGGATAACTTTTATGCATTTATCCTAAAATTCAAAAGTGCTCACAAATTGTTTATCTAGATCAACCGTTTAATATTGTCAATGCTCCACACAAAAATTCCGTCTTCTGCTTTATTACTTTAAAAAAAATATTTTTTTCTGAAAACTTAAATTATAAAATAATATTTTTTACTTTAACAATTTTCAGATTTATTGTTGGACCAAGTGAAAAGAGGCAAGATATCAGGATATCTACATTTTTAACAAGAATATTTACAACACTATATTTTCTTTCTCCTTTTATACAGCGAGAACCAGAAAACAGTGGTATTTTCAAAAATTTGCTCAGAATATTCGTAAGAATTTGCAGTTGCAACAATTGACAATTATGCCTTCACCAGATTTCTGGTTCTCCGCGTTTAAATTGAAAATATTGTAGAAATAACATTTTCAAGGTTGAAAAAATTAATTTAGATATATGAATAAAAATAAACGTAATGTAAAGTGTAGACTATAGACTGTAGACTGTAGACTGTAGACTGTAGACTGTAGACTGTAGACTGTAGACTGTAGACTGTAGACTGTAGACTGTAGACTGTAGACTGTAGACTGTAGACTGTAGACTTTAAACTGTAGATATGCCATAATGTAGAATATCCATTTTTCATTATTTGACAGACCTTCAAATATGAGATAAATGAAGCCTCCATTCAATTCTTGCTAAAATGCTCTTCTTAGCAAGAGGAAATCTGGGAAAATGTTTGGAATTGTAAAATATATTTCTGAAGAAAACATCTAAAATATAAAATGTATTTTTGAAGAAAAAACTGTCTCTTCACCTTCATTCCTGAGAGAAGAAAAAGGTAAATAAATTTATACCTTAAAATTTATTTGATAATGTTTTGAAGAAAGAAATCATTTCGATTAACTTTTTTACATTTTTATTATGACCTTCAAGTTTGGTCCAGATTGGTTCAACCGTTTTGACGTTGTTCGGACCTAATGACCTAAACAAATGTTCTTATTGGGGAGGAAGGAAACTTACATCTCATGACACTTGTTTCTTTACAGCGGGACCCATGATACTGTTGAAAAGGGAGACTTCTGTACGTTGCTCCAATCGTTGCATTATTCGAGCCGGTACAACAAGTACTGTATATGCATTCAGTTGTACTGTCCAGTCTGGACTACCTTGTTTAATGTCGACCCAACACGTTTTATGCAACAAATGTAGTCTGGTAAGATCACAGTGACTGTTATACTCAAGCTATGATTTGAATATGCTCAATAAACATGAATTATTGGTATAATTGTCCACTTTATACAAATCCATTCCAGTTAATTAATTGATTTGAATATGCTCAATAAACATGAATTATTGGTATAATTGTCCACTTTATACAGATTCATTCCAGTTGATTAATTGATTTGAATATGCTCAATAAACATGAATTATTGGTATAATTGTCCACTTTATACAGATCCATTCCAGTTGATTAATTGATTTGAATATGCTCAATAAACATGAATTATTGGTATAATTGTCCACTTTATACAGATCCATTCCAGTTAATTAATTGATTTTCAAGCTTATACTTGCTTTGTTATACAATCAAATACACATAGGGTTGCTTTAATATAGTCTTCCTCTTCCCCAGTTTTATGGGTCTTACTGTATTTTCAAACCATACCGAAGTACTAATTTATCTATCTATCTTTATAGCGCGCCGATCAGCTTGTCCGGGCGGAAATGGAAACTATGGATTTAATTCCTTCAACTTCATGACGTTCATGCTTCTAGTTTTCAGGTCATTAATTCTAGTTTTCTGGTTATTATCTCTAGTTTTCATGTCATTATCTCTAGTTTTCATGTCATTATTTCTAGTTTTCAGGTCATTATCTCTAGTTTTCAGGTTATTAACTATAGTTTTCATGTCATTATCTCTAGTTTTCAGGTCATTATCTCTAGTTTTCAGGTCATTATCTCTAGTTTTCAGGTCATTAACTCTAGTTTTCATGTCATTATCTCTAGTTTTCATGTCACTATCTCTAGTTTTCATGTCATTATCTCTAGTTTTCATGTCACTATCTCTAGCTTTCGGGTCATTATCTCTAATTTTCAGGCTAGTCAGGCTAGCAATGATAAACGATATTTGAACGTTATTTTTTTCTTTTTTAGATGCATCTACTTACAAACAACCTATTTTACAAAAGTGTTTTATCATTTTGAACGATTATTTTTTAAAAGATTATTAAAAATTTGTTTAAAAAGCGACATAAAAATTGGAGATAATGACCTGAAAAATAGAGATAATGACCTGACAATTAGAGATAATGACCTGAAAATTAGGGATAATGACCTGATAATTAGAGATAATGACCTGAAAATTAGAGATAATGAACTGAAAATTAGGCAAAATGTGTATGCCCCAATATAAATATAAATGGCAAACTTTATCTTTGAATTCCACAAATTCGCAATTATGAATTATTTGAGATCATAATAATTTTATGACTCTAACTGCTCAAAGGATAAAAAAAAATCTGACACCAAATGTTTCGGACAATGATTACATATTGATTTTTTGTTTTCAGTTTGGTTGCAAATGTAAACAATAACATAAACAACAACAACAACAACGCCAATAAGAATAATATCAACGCTATTAACCAGGATTCCAACAATGTCGCCTCTAATACGAATGCTGTCAATCAAATAATGGTAAGAGGTCAATAAATATTACTTTTTATTATACATTTATTTCGTACAGAAGGGTGTATACAATAGATCGATATATATGAATATTAAAATATAAAACAATGAAATAATGAAATAATAATGAAATAATGTCATACAAAAAATAGTCACAGCCACGCAACATTTGTGATAAAACTTTGTACCACACCGGACTAACCAGAGTGAGCAGCATTCGGTTTCTTCTATTTGAAATTAAAACGTGTTTTGGTCTATAATTCAATAATCATTTACTTTACGGATTTGTTTATTCTATACTTTTTATTAAAAATGCATATGCCAACAAAAAAGTATTTGAGAAGAAAGGCTTACAAATTATGTTTTATGGGTCAAATTGTGATCGAAAGTCACAGCTTTCTGGAATATTGACAGAACCGTTAAATCCACGTACCTCTTATCTCCATGAATTTTTAGATTATTTTTATACATTTTAATTATAAGAAAAGCAAACTATTCGGATCAAGAATCAGGTTTGTAAAAATAAAATTAATTATAAAAGTTTTATGTTTAAATATTTATTTTAGGTAACTGTGTTGCCTATTCCTGGGAAACGAAACATAGAAAATTTTCTTCTTAAACACAGGGATTTGGCTCATTTTCAGATGCAATTTTCAAAGACGCCATTTTTCTTTTTTTTATTAACTCTAATTTGGTTTCAATGGCTCAATCTTTGGTAACTCCCCGTTATAGGTAAAATGTTATAAAGGAATCCGTTTTTACAAAATTCCGACGAATATGAAGTCACCAACCCACACCAGAACCCCTTTTAAACCTTTATCTGAAAGATAAAAAGAAGATTTTCGCCATTTTTTCATCTTGAAATAATGCTGAAAAGGATTTTATATATTTTTAACACAAAAAATAAATTAGAAAAGAAACTCAAATGAAATTTAGACTAGTAATTTCTATTTTGTAACACCGAATGAAACAATTTTTTCACATTTGCTGCATCAAATTTAATTTTGATAACTTTTGGTGCATTTTTCATTTTTTGTTTCAATGCATTCAAGACATCCCGAGATTGATTGATATCTCAGGTTCTACACTATTAGAAAATGTATCAAACGACTGAGAGCAGTTCGAAAATACGAACGTTTAGTTCGAACATTAGAACATTTTGATAAAATGTGTGTTCATTTTCTCATCAGTTTGTAAAATATCCATAACATTTTGTTCATAAATTCGATCAAAATAATAAAATCTGGAACAGCTTTTGGTTATTCAATATTATGAACTTAAGGAGTTTTAACAGTGAACTAAAGGTTTTAGAATTTCCAAATTCCGCTGAATTTGACACTTTTGCATCAAAAGGTTTAGGATATCTTAATCTTTTCTCCTTTCACTAAAGTCTGGGGGGTCCCAATAAACTTTGGAATTGATTTCGTCTTCAGTTTTAAATATGAATTAAAGAACTTACAGTGTAATCTAAAGTGACCCTTTATGCAAAGATACCTGATCATTTCTACAGGTTTTCCTGCAGGAGAAATGCGCAAGTCACTTTTGTAGAGAAACTACAATTAAAAATATTAGTTTTTAAAATTATAAACATTTATATTTAATTCATAATTGATAATTTAAAGGACATCTTTGCGTACAGGATCACTTTAAATTACGCTTACAGACCCTTTATGGACCAGGTTTGCTATGCATTAAATGGGTTCATATCTCTGTCGATTTTGAAAGTACAAAACAGCCCATGAGTTTGGAAATCCCAGAATTTGGTGAATCTGGTTTGATCATTATTTTGAGTTTATTGCCCAAATTTACGACTTAATGTTTCGTTTTAAATAAGTCGTCACTTGATCCTCATGTTTATTGGGACACCCTGTATTTGCCTGACTCTATTAAAATGGTTTTGTTCTGCAAACAAGTGATTATATTGAGCCTGATAAAAGAAAGAAGATTGAGAAGAATTGTGAAGAGAAAGTTGAAAATACTCTGGGTAAACTTTTCATCCATTTCTATCCAGGGCTAATTTATTTCTTTCTCATTTCTTATCTCTTTTCGCTGTAAAGAAAACTTTTAAAATGGGGATTTAGAGAATTCTTTTAACCATATATAACATTTTTAACCACATTTTACCACATTTATCAGTTTTATTCAGTTTTAACCAGATTTAACCAGTTTAAACCAATTTTAGCCAGTTTTAACCAGTTGAAACCAATTTTAACCAGTTTTAACCAGTTTTAACCACTTTTAACCCCTTTTAACTACTTTAAAACACATTTAAGAGTTTCAACCAATTTTAACCAGTTTAAACCAATTTTAACCAGTTTTAAGCAGTTTTAACCAGTTTTAATCACATATATCACATTCACCAGTTTTAAGCAGTTTTTACCAGTTTTGACTAGTTTTAACCATTTTTAACCCCTTTCAATCACTTTTAACTACTTTAAAACACATTTAACAGTTTCAACCAGTTAAACTTTTTCGTTGTAAAGGAAACTTTTATAAACTCTTTTAATCCCTTTCAACCACATTCAAAATTCGATGTTAAAAACTTTAAATTATTGATCTTTAGGAACTTTCTTCTTGTCTAAAGCTGAAGAGTTAACCGGCGGCGGAGCAGGGTTAGTTTAACTTGAATTATTTTATAAAAACTAGGCAACACTTCAAAGTCGACCCGGTCTTAAAAACTTTTTATATCAATTTGGACATTCATTTATTTATTTTTTTTTTATTGCTAAATTTTACATGATTAAAAAGAATAAAAATACTTTGGATACATTCTGGTTAAAATTATTGGTTAATTTATCATATTTTGTAAAAAACTAATAATTTCAAGTGACCAAAAGCATGACAAAAAGCTTAAACCCGACTAAAACCCGGTCTTTGTGTCTGTTTAGGACCCAAGTAAAGCTCAAGTCAAGACCCTTGTTTTGGATGGCCTTGAGTTTAGTAAGAACCAACTCTCTTGGGGTTTACTCTCTTTAAGGCTCGAGTTTTCTGCAGCTGATGATTGTAAATTTTGTAAAATCTTTTATATTTGTACATTTAAAATCTCGGGAATTATTTGTGATGTCAAATCTTATTAATTATATAAAATACACATACTATGAAAATAATCTATCTACATTAAGTTTGAATTATCGAAATTTACATCTCCTTGTCACAGCTGATCTGACGGCATTCTGTCTGCTACAGAGAGAAAGCTTATAAAACAGTCTCTCATTGGTCGAATCAGAACCAATCCTGACTTGGGTTCTATCTAAGCCCGAGTTTGGGTTTTAGTCGGGTTTAAGCTTTTAAAATCTCATCTCAGATAAAGGTTTAGTCAGTGAAAGGGGGCGGTCACTGAAAAATAACGACAGTCTTTTTAAAAAAAGAAATTAATAATTATTTCATTTTTGATAAGAAAATTATTTTAGATTTTGTGAGGAATACAGAAGCTGCAAAAGCATTAAGGTAATTTTTTTAATATTAACTTTGCAGGGCATTTAAGGAAATTTTACCTAGCCAAGGGGTCCAATGTTTAAAGGTAAAAGGTAACACAATTATATCGTCTATTGAGATAAAAATGCGCGAATTTTTTCACAAAAACTACGCAGAGCAAGTCATTATTTTACTTAATTGTTCCAAGGGACGTTAAGTAATTCAATTGTTGTTTGTTTACAATAATACAAGTTCCAGAGATGCCCAAATACGTCACAGTATAGAATATAAACAAATCTTCTAAGTGTTGACCTCTGGTTTAATAATGTTGTAAAGTGCATTATTACCGGGTCAAAAAAATTCATGAAGCAATTTTTTTCTTGGCTTGGAAGGAAGGCTGGGTTTTGTTGTTTATTTACTTCAAACCAGTTTTGTGTTTTTAAATTTTAAAACAAATAAAGATTTTAAATGTATTCAAAATAATGCTTAAAGAAAGTTCATTTTATACATTTTATAATATTCATGCAGTTAGAACTTTAAACAGTAGAACGAATGTAGCCTTTCTTTTACTTAAGAAGGATTTTTTATTTTCGATTTTTGCAACTGAAAATGTTCATAGATCGTAACTTTTGTGTGAATAGTGTTAATCTTGAATGCTTGATCTTGAAATCAAATGTGGACATTTTTAAATTTTATGATTAATCTCGATCCATCAATCATTCAAATTTATCCCATTGGATATTGAAGAGAAAATTGTATTAATTCTGAGTTCTACATAAGATGGAGATCAATGCTTGATCCAAGATACACAAGACAAAATTTCTTCCAGTTCAGTATTCAGAGCAAGGTACTAATGCAAGAAAAGTTATTTCAGAGGTGTACGCATTTTTTGTACTGCGTCTACAGTGTACTGTCTTTGGGAGGAAAAGTAAACAAAAGACGGATGTCACACCCTGACATGGAATACATTTTCACCAAAATAATCAATGAAATATTCTGGTCATAGGAAACTATTATGTGAATTTTCAAAATTATCAAAATTAAATTCTTTTAACCTCCTCGGACACTAAACGAACACTGATGCATCTATTCTTGTTTAGAAAGTCCGCCCAGAGAGAACTGGTTTCAATATGTACGCAGAGTATACGCAACTGCAATTAACTTTCCTTGCATTAGTACCTTGATTCAGAGCACCTATTAAAAAGATCATGAGACGCAAATTAATGACTTTTTACAATTTAAAAAAAAAAATAAAGAAGAAGACGAGAATTCCCCTGTTTTCTGGTTCTCACTGTACAGAAAACAAATAAAAGCGCAAACAAGTTTTTGTCTGTCAACAATACCTCTATATATTTAATATTTTTCCAAATAAAGGAATATTTTTCAAACAAAATTTGGAGAAAAGAACAAATAAAAGTTTTATTTTATTTCTAGGATTTGATGAAGTTTGCAAATATTGCAGAAGGTTTTAGCAAACAACTATTCGCAGAGGAATATATGCAAAAATGTTATATAAAAGCTTTTCCTTACAGATGAGGGGGAATTAAAGGGAGTGTTCACTAATTATAAAGGGGTAAATAAAAGATGTAAAAGTTAAGATTAATACCTGTAATCATACAAGCAATAGCAAGGTGTCATACCAAGGTTGTATAATACTCTTGTCTGCCAAGTCCATTAGCGCCTGATCCAATCAGGGTTCAGTCATGTGTTTGGTGTCTATTCTGAACCAATAGAAATAGTATGGCGGTAACATCTATTTATCTCATTATCCAGAGTGTCTAACCTTACTGAACAACCATGTGTCATGCCATAATTTTTATTCGATCAGTGAAAAATAAAGGTTAGGTTATAATTCATAGCAAATTATTCAATATTAATGTTAAACTAATTTGAAATAGGTTTTTGAAAATGCTTGTCATTTTTAATTGATAAAAACCTATTTTAAGAGTTTTTTTTTTACTTTTTAGGGACGTGCCATGCATCATCATTTTGAAATTTTTGCTATCGTACATTGTGCTATAAAAATAATTCGGATTTAAAGAAACAGTTAGATGCTCTACATATCCTCCCTGAACTCCCATGTTTATTGGGACACCCTGTACAAATAATACCTTTCATGAAACTTTTATATATCTTTCCCGTGTGATTCAATTATTTATCCTTTTTATTCATCTTCATTCCTCTTTCTCATAATAAATGTATTATAGTTCCATTTAACATTTCTATCCGAAGGTTTAAAGCTGAAACGCAAAAATCTATGAGAATTTTGCCAATTACTTCTAAAACTGTTAGCTACAAACAAGTGCCATATAGTTATCCAATGTTGCTTTTATAACTTGAAAAGTGTTACTTTCTGTGAATTTCTCCATTGCTTCTTAAAAGCAACAAACAAAAACATGCATATTTAATTTATACTTGATCACAAAGCTTTTAATGGTATCATTGAATAGAAAGTCATCTTTATTGTATTGATATAGACGCCGACGACTGTAAGAACATTGAGAGTGACATATTGTGTTAACTAAAGATAAATTGAATTATCAAAATTAATGCTAGTCTATCCTCATCATTCTAAACATCCAATTCCGGTAAATTTAGAAATTATAATTTTGCATATTTTAAAGGGAAAGTCTCCATTTCTGAGGTAAGCTTTCTATCGTTTGTCCTTTAAACTACAAACTTAAGTCCCATTTTTTTATGCCAACGATTTATTTTTGCGACCACAGTTTGTTTCTTTTGTAGCATTAATTTTAAAATACTAGGATTACAACGTTACCCTCCAGACCTTTACCTGATAAAGGATTAATGAGACATCCTTGTTTATTTATATCAAAATTAATTATTCTAAATTATGGTTTCGCTGCAAAAGTGAATTGCGGATTTATACAGCAAAGACAGGAAGAAAAAGAAATTTCTTTGTTTCCAGTTAAAAGAGTAAAATGTCTATTCCATCGTTCATCAGATGAAGTTTTAAAGGACCCTTTTAACAACACGAGTTTTCTCAAAGGGACTGTTCACTTAAACAATTTTAAAGGACCAACCAATTATAAAGTTATCTGCCCGATTCACAACGGTACGTTGTATAAAAATTTTTTGGAGATGTTTTTCTCCATATTTTTGTTTGAAGTGGAAATGTACATTTTTAATCGAACGTTACGTTAACAGTTCCTTTAAAGTAAAAATATTTAGCCTGGAATTGGAAAAAAATGCAATTTCGGATATATAGGTTTTTAGGTCATTTGAATAAGATAAAATTTGAACAAACTCACAAAAAATTTCCGAAAATAATTTGCGGAAATTTTATAGGTTTAAAATTTCTTAAACAAATTTTTTTTCAGTCAAACTGTTTGCGAAGAGCTGTTTCCGTATTGTTTAGCAATGTAGATCAAGAAAACATTTTATCTGAAAACCATTTAAATTTAAAAATCTAAGAATACGCAATCAGTTAAAACAAGAAGCAATCAGTTTATGAAAAAGAAATCAGTTTACAAGAAGTAATTAGTTTATGAAAAAGCAATCAGCTCAAACAAAAAGCTAACAGTTAAACAATTTAACAAGAAGCAATCAAGTTAAACAAGAAGTAATCAATTTAACAAGAAGTATTCAGTCAAACAAGAAGCAATGAGTTTAATAAGAAGTAATCAGTTTATGAAATTAAGCAATCAGTTCAAACAAAAAGCTAACAGTTAAACAATTTAACAAGAAGCAATCAAGTTAAACAAGAAGTAATCAATTTAACAAGAAGTATTCAGTCAAACAAGAAGCAATCAGTTTAATAAGAAGTAATCAGTTCAAACAAAAAGCTAACAGTTAAACAATTTAACAAGAAGGAATCAAGTTAAACAAGAAGTAATCTGTTAAACAAGAAATTATCAATTTGACAAGAAGTAATCAGTTAAACAAGAAGCAATTAGGGAAACAAGAAGCAATCAGTTAAACAAGAAGCAATCAGTTAAAACAAGAAGCAATCAGTGAAACAAGAAGAAATCAGTTAGAACAAGAAGCAATCAGTTAAACAAGAAGCAATCAGTTAAACAAGAAGAAATCAGTTTAACAAGATGCAATCAGTTAAACAAGAAGCAATCAGTTAAACAAGAAACAATCAGTTAAACAAGAAGCAATCAGTTAAAACAAGAAGCAATCAGTGAAACAAGAAGAAATCAGTTAAAACAAGAAGCAATCAGTTAAACAAGAAGAAATTAGTTAAACAAGAAGCAATTAGTTAAACAAGAAGCAATCAGTTAAAACAAGAAGCAATCAGTTAAACAAGAAATTATCAGTTAAACAAGAAACAATCATTCAATAAACAAGAAACAATCAGTTAAACAAGAAGCAATCAGTTAAACAAGAAGTAATCAGATAATAAACAAGAAGCAATCAGATAATAAACAAGAAGCAATCAAGCAATCAAAAAGAATTAAAAAAGAAAAAATTCGAAAGAACTTCATTCTAAATCTGCTGGAAATCAACAAACAACAGTAATAACATCAATATAGAAGAACTTAAATCAATAATCAAATCAATTATTCAAAATCAAACCAAGTGATTATCTGATCAATTTTAGAGAAGTTCTTGTTTTCTGAAGTGATAAATCAATTGAAAATGAATAGGTTAGTTAATAATAAGATAATAATAAAAAGTATGATTAAAAGCATATCGATAATTAAAGATAAAAGAAACCCAAAAATGAAAACGTAATTAAAAATAATAAAAATATTTAAAAGTGATAAGATAATCAAAAATAAAAAATAATTAAAGATAAAAGCGAACCAAATATAAAAAGATAATTAGAAATAAAAAGATAATAAAAAGATCATTAAGAATACTAAGATTGAAAAATTAAAAAATATTATTCGCATGATAACAGATTTTGAAAATATAAGATTAAATTCTTTCTTTATATTTTTTTTCATTGGTGCAAATAAAATTTATTGCTTTCTGGTGGAAACATTATAAAATAAAATTGAAAAGCAAAGATTGAGTTCTTGCAAAAAAAGTCCATTAAAAACCTATAACAAATAGCTTGGAAAACAAATAAATAAAAGATATATTTTACCTCCATACTAGAATTTAAAGGGACTGTTAAGGTTAAAATGAAAGGGTGTTATAGGCTGAAGCCTAAAAATTTTAGGAGTTGATCGCGACCAATATTAATTCTATATGATGTCCCTGACTCGAGAAATGGATATAAAACCTCATACATACGTAATTTGGCCGATTTAACCACGTGACCAGATACTGCACTGCCATTGGTGGAAATTCTGGTCACGTGGTACGGTGGTACAGACGTAATATGATCTGTTTAAAACTTTGCTTCATATACTGTTTCACATATATATGAGTTTTGGTATAACTTTGACACAGTTTTACATCAATTTCTTGAGACAGGGGCAGTAGATAGAACTAAATATTGGTCGTGATCAACTTTTAAATTTGTTAGGCTTTAGCCTCCACCCCTTTTCATTTTACCTTAACAGTCCCTTTAAGGTACAAGGGGGGAGGGAGTAGGGTACCCATGAAAAAAATTCCCAGATGTGCGACACATTTTTTAGGAAGCATTAAGGTAAAACTAGCTCAAATACGAAATTTTAGCATTTAAAAATAATTTTCCTAAATGGCCCAACCGTTTAACTGTTTAACTGTGAACAATCGCGTCTTTTTTAACACCTTTCTTCAGCTCCACCCTGTCGAGTGATTAAAGTAATTTTTTTCAAACTCAATACCATCCTATTTGAATATATTTTGGCAGTTTAGAAATTGCTTAAAAATGTTTTATTGACAAATGTAGAGGCAAATGTATAAGGCTTTGGCCAATTTAAAACCCGTTTTCAGTCTAATTAGGAGTTTTGAACGTTCCTAAACAACAAGTAGGAGTTTTGAACGTCGAATTTGCGCTCAAACTCAGGATTTACAGATCTTTAAGATGTTTAATATGTCTCAAATGAATCCGAAAGAAGTTTTCCACAACACTGCATACTCAGTTCAACTACCTTACATAGCCGGTCACTCCCTTTAAGTGCGTTCAGATCTATCAGGTAGAATCTACAGGCTATCATAGGCAGGAAAAGGATGGGGAGAAGATGATAGAGCCCTTAGAAAAATGGCTGGGCCATTTAGGAAAATTTAGGAAAATTCGTGTTTGAGCCAGTTATATCCTAAAAAATGTGTCTCACATCTGGGATTTTTTTCAGGGGAACCCTAGGGGTGGGGTGTGGGGCGGGCAAGGTCTTTATTAGGACTTTTAAGAAAATGAAAAATGGAGAAAAATCTAAAATGTTTTATTTTCAAATATAAACTTGGCATCTCTCTCAATTTCTCTCTATATATATCAGAAGAAAAATGTCGAGATGTTTTTAACATTTGTATTTAAAACTTTTGATATTTTTAAAGAAGGTTTGGTAAAATATTTTAATATTCTAAAAGTAAAATATAATTCTTGAATTAATGTTAATTAAAACCTTTACATGTATAATGTACAGTTGCACACTTCAATACAATGAGAACCAGGAAACTGTAGAATAGGAAGCTGCAGTTAATTGTACTTGATGCTGTTTTAAAGAAAACGTATCTAAAAAATTAACTTATGAATTGAAATGGGTTTTTGTAGTTTATACACTGCAAAAATGTCTTCATTGAACTATTTAAAATCATAACATTCGTCTATATAGTCCACAGTTTTGTGTGGCACACTGTATGAATCCATTTAGGTTTTTAGCAGAATTGGATGAGTTGTCAAGTTCCTTGAAGTATCCTGACCCCCTTGGAGCAGGTTCTAACCTGTTCAACCGACAACCCGAAGAACCATTTAACCTTGAACTTACAGGAACAGAGAAATTCATGATTTCACATATAGAGTAGGACAAATAAATCCTGAGAATAGGAAGACGACTTACAAGCTATCTTACCTGCTTTAATGAAGCAACTAATTAAACCAATACCTTAAAAATTAACTTATTTAGTGAATTGGTTTTGTGTACACTGCACAGATTCTGTGTTTTATGTTCATTTAACTTTAAGTATAAATTGAGTCCAACAGTCGTCTTCCTATTCCACAGTTTCATGGCTACGGCTATATCTAAATTTTTTTGATTCATTAATTAATTATTTTTTTTATTTTTGAAATTTCTTTGATTAGAACATTTCACTGACCTTGAAACCTCTCACAAGGAAGACAACATTTTTAAAATAAAACTCAAAATTGCAAAAATACCTGAAAAATTGTTATCTATATATAAATTTGGCTAGTCTGTCTGTTTGTTTGTCTGTCTGTTTGTCTGTATCCAATAAACGTCAAAAAACGGCTGAACCGATCGGGCCCAAATTTTTTGTGGGACCTCACGAGACCCCAGGGAAGGTTTATGAATGATCAAAATTTCAAATATTTGTCTCCATCAAAATTCGATCTTCATTAAATTTTTGAAAATTTTGAAAATCCACGAAATTTTTTGTGAAAATCCGCGAATTATTTTTGTTTTGTTTTACGATGTACACAAAGAGAACATGTTCACAATTAATTTAGAAGATGGGCGCGAAGCACCCTCTAAGGCTAGTCTATATATAAATTTAGCTTGTCTGTCTGTTTGTTTGTATCCAATAAACGTAAAAACGGCTTAACCGATCGGGCCCAAATTTTGTGTGGGACCTCACGTGACCCCAGGGAAGGTTTATGAATGATCAAAATTTAAAAATTTGTGTTTAAAAGTTTTTTCAGTTTTGTAAAATTTTTGAAAATGCGCGAAAAAATATTATGAAATCCGCAAACTTTTTTTGTTTTTGTTTTACACTCTACAAAGAGAAGATGCTCACAGATAAAGCAACAATTATAAGTTGAAATAGAAGATGGTCGCGGAGCCTAGTAATCTAATAAAATGCTGAATAAATTCTGATGATTTATCGTAATTGCCTGTCTAAACATTTTATGTATTTTCTTTCAGAGTTTTTTTTATTATTGAATTTAATATTTTCTGAGAAATGATTTATACTTTATTTTGCTTATCTTGCTTTAACAGAAACTTTGTTATTTTCTGAGAGGTAGTGAATTGACCCCCCCCCCCCTTCTGTTGTATACAAATTTGATGAGGGGGTCATAATCGGTCGTATTAGGATAGATCCGAAACTTTATATTCAGAGTTTAGAGTCAGACTGCAAAGCACATATTGTTGCTAAAAATTTAGTTTAAAAAAAGACAATATTTTGAAATGGAACTGATTACTCTCTTTAAATACTGATTTACAAATCCTTTCATCCATTCAGCAAATAGTTGAAGTGTGACAGTTAGAGTAATTTCATGAGACCCTCAATACAAAGATGGGAATGCCCTTATTCACAACAGTACCCTTCAAACCTGGCTTTATCCAATCAATAATATGGAAAATTTTGTAGTTTTTCTAGGTTTAAAAGATTTTAATTCTGATAATTGGTGTATGTTTTTCTGAAGTAGAAATGCACAAGTTACTTTTGTAGTAAAACCACAGTTGCTTTTAAGGGTACCGTTGTGAATCGGGCATTGTTATCTTTGCATGGAGGGTCTTTCAGTCTCTTTAAACCAGGACTCAGAAAATCTCAGTCCAGATAAAAAACTAGTTTCCCCTAGGGAGGGACAGTGCCCCGCCTCTTAAGATTGCAAATACAAAAATGGTAATTTTGTTTCCAAAAAGTTAAAAATTCTATGATTTCATTATTTAGGTTATAATTGGACAACCAAACATCAAATTCCCAAGTTGTGTTTCTGTTTATATCATCCTGATGTTATTATAAAAGCTGATATGTCTGTATAGAGATTTGAACGCAGTGCTGGGTGTCCAGGGGGAGTAGGAAACCTAGGATTTAACTCATTCAATTTTATGACTTTCATCTTGCTCACACTCAATGCTGTTGCCAACACCAACAACAACATAAACAACAACAATAACAACAACAACAACATCAACTACAACACAATCAGTCAGGACTCGAATAATGTGATTTCTAACAGTGAAAACATGAACATGGTGACCGCAGTTATTCTTCCAATTCCGGGCAAACGGTCATTGGAACTCATGAAAAGGTAATAAATATCCTTCTAATAACCTTATCATTTTTAACCCCTTTAAACCGTGTGTGAGAAAAAAAGAAAAAAATATCCCTGTTTTTTTGAAAATTAATAATTTTCGAATCTTTTTTCCATTGCAAAAAAAGCTACTTATCCTCATTATTTCTACTCAGATAAAGGGTTGAAGTGCCGGTGTGAATCGATGGAGGGTCAATTGAACAATTGCATCTCTTATATTTTTTTTATTTCAGATTTAAAAGATCAGGGAAATCTAAGAGTTTCCAAGAATCAAAAGAATTCTCAGAAAAGCGCGGATTTACAAATTCCAAAGGAAATACAGAACCTAAAGGAAATACAGAACCCAAAGGAAATACAGAACCAAATGGAAATACAGAACCTAAAGGAAATACAGAACCAAAAGGAGATACAGAATCTAAAGGAAATACAGAGTCAAATGAAAATTCAACATCTAAGGGACTCACAAAGCCCAAAGGATCCGCAGAATCCAAAGAATTGACAAAATCTAAAGGCATAACAAGGATTGAAGGGACTGAGAATGAAAATGAAAAGAATGGAGAAGAGCTTGATAAAGAAAATAATACGAAAACGATTGAACAAGAATGGAGAAATCATCTCTTTACTGGGAGCGGGAGCCCTAAGAGTAATAGGTAAAAATCAACTATTACGTATACATTGAGACGCAGAAAACAGTAGAATTTTTTTCGATATTTTCATTAAATGTTGGTCAGGGTTTTGAAATTTGCAACCGAGCTATTTCTACACAAGTAGTCCTTGCAGAACCGAATTAATTGAATTAGCGGGGGGTCAAATTTGAATAACCCATTCCAATCCTTCCTGAATCTATACATAATATCAGTTTCAAATCTTTTAATAATTGCAAATTACGAAATCAGCTCAGCGACATTTCAAAGTAAAAGGAAGAACAAAGCCATAATTAATTTTATAGAGTTCTGATTCTCACTGTATATATTTTTCAGGCAGAATTTTAAAATGAAAAAAATAGAATTTAAAAGGTTTTATTATTTTGTTATACTTATAAAATTATAAAATCAAGGTCCAAAATATCGAGTTCAGTTTCCTCTCCCTTTATACAGAAGATTTCAATCACAGAAGAAAATACTTTGCAGGTATTAAATACCCCCCCCCCCCCCCCCCCC